AGTTGAGCAAGGAAGTGTTTTTAATTTAGGAAAATGTAGATATCTAATTAGATTTTTTTAAATGTGTGTCTCCAGGCAGAAACGTGGCTGAAGCTTCTTTCTGATTGGTCAGGACTTCAGTGTCAGGAGAGAAGGCTGAGCTCTGTTAGAGTCTCTGCAGGAGTTTGTTTAATAACTGACAGGAACATTAACCAATCACAATGTAGAGTGGGTGGGACCAAAACACTCTGAGCCTTCAGGAGGGCCTTGATAGTTTTTTTTTTTTAACCACACAAAGATTTGTGATGCATTCAATAAATTTAAAAAATCCACACTGAAGTTGCAATTTATTTTTAAAAAATCCCATTGATCTTCTGATGCATGCTCAAAAATCCAGGTAGAAAAATTAAAAAAACAGTAAAGTCTGGTCCTCTGGACATTCAAAAAACAAAACAAAGCAACAACAACAAAAAAAAAAAAAAAAGTAGAAAAACTGAAGAAATCTTTCAGATGAAAGCCAAAACATTTAATTTTTTTTGTTTGTTTATTTTGTTGTTTGAATGTCCAGAGAACCAGACTTAACCTCTTTAGATTTCCCATTGATCGGTGAATGAAATGAAACCAATGAAATTTTACAGAAACAACACGTTCTGTTTTTTCCTGTTAAACTTCAGTGTGTCTGATTGAAATTGCATGTTGTACTTGAATGCAAGACACTTGGTGAGCTGCACTGCATGCTGGGTAGACTTGAGGCAGAAATGGATGGACTTTATCAGATGACTGTAAATAAAAAAAGACACCATAATTCAGTTGTTTGACTTGATATATAAAAAGGGGGAACCACTTCCTTATGGACGCGTTTTAATATAACTAGACCACAACTCCACAGTTTTTTCACCGTTAGCATTTATGAAGTTGTTGGCGCCATATTTTATCCTGCCTGACAGCCTTGCTCTAGTAGTCGTGGTTCACCTCTACACAGAAAGTTTAAAGCCAACCTGCAACTTTTTTTGCTGAGAGGCAACAGCTCTCAATTCCGCACCTCACTAGAAGAAAAAAAATGTACAAAAGAAAATATTTAAAGACAAAAATAACTCAAGTGTCCATTTAACTGAGTTCCGGCAACTCCTGACCCACTGTTGTCCACAACATATGTTAGTTGTGGACAGATTCACCGCAGCCATAATCACCATGTGCACTGACAGCATCCTAACAATCTGCATAGATGTGTGTCTGACAACTACCTGATAACTAATATCTTGTTACCTGATGAGATGACTTTCTGTCAAGGAGAGCAAACAGCACAGTTATTGAATCTTACGCCGATCCTTGAAAGTTGGAGAAAATCTCTCTCACTAATGTTGTTTACCCAAAAGAACCACACTCAATGGAAGGAGAAGATTTTTAACCAGTATTTATACTTGCAAGGTCAAATTTCATGACAGGTTACATAAATATACGTATATTACATGCATTGATTTATGCGCAGGACAACCAGTGACAGAAAAAAGCCTGAAGCCGCATTATCTGGTCACTTTTATACTTTCAGCTCAGGCGAAGGCGAGTTCAGAGTTCAGGCGGTGTCCTTGAAGCGAGCTGCAGCCTGGCAGGCAGGTAGAAAACTTAAAAAAATAAATAAATAAAACTGAAGTTAAAGCAGGTGAAATAAGTGCAGTTGTTGATTTTTAGCTGCCTTTTAGACACACCAAAGCTGTTCGAATGCGGGACTCTGCTTTTCTAAACAGTAAATGAAGTCAATAAAATTAAAACAATAATTTAAACAGAGTATAATTTGTTCTGATCCACTAATTGTTTACGTACAATGCATGGCTGCTCATGCTCAAAATGGAAAAAGTCCAGCTTTGACTTTTGGAAAAAGTTTTGCTCCTCGTTTAACTCCATCTATAAGCTTCTGAGTAAATACGTTTGACTTTGGGCTTTATCAGCGTTCAGGTGCGTTTGGGGATAAAAACAGTTCTTTTAAATCAGTTTGTCAATTTTATTGATTTGCAGACACAAACACGAACAAGGAATAAACACCTAAATGTGTTTCAGAGCAGCAGGTAAAAATAAGTCCATGAAAATAATAATTCCTCACTTTGTTGATGAAAGATGGCTGAACACACAGCGAGGGTTAGTTTTGATTGCACAAGTGTGTGAAATAATTCCTTTATGAAATGAGCAATAAGGAAATGGAACAGCTGGTGGGATTTATTTTGTATTTTTATTTCAGAATAGTCTTTATTTTAAAGATTGTCTTTTGCCAAGCAAATATTAACTGAACACTTTTGGATTAACTTAAGGTTGTCAGGGTTTTCTGGTCAGGGCGAACCCAGTAGTGCGGACAGGGACTCGAATCGGCAGAAGTACAAAAAATAGAAATTTAATGATAATAATAAAATACAAAAATAACAGGCTGACGAGGCAGCACAACTCACAAAACGGGATGAAGGCACGGGAAGCTCAGAGGGACTCAGGAAACTCAGAAGACTCAGAAGACACAGGGACCCAACGAAGACGACGCGACAAAGAACAAGACTGAACAGACGGCTTATATACAGGGACAAGACGAGACGTGATTACAAACAGCTGTGACGAGACAAGGATGGCACCAATTAAACTAAAGAGAAAACACTAGGGAAACACAGACACAAACCGAGCCACCAAATGGTACCATCCTTACAAAGGTCTCCCTCCATTTCAAGATGGCCACCAGCTAACCAGCCTTAGCTGACACACAAAGGGTTACAGTCCCTTGTTTATTGCAGGGGTTATGTTCCAGACCCCCACCCCATCCAATAAGTGAAAATCAACCAAGTAGTGACGTTCTATTTATTTTAGTACGTATACTACCCATCCAAGCTGTCATACTGTAAAGTTTGCAGATGATACAGCGGTGGTTGGATGCATCACAAACAACGATGTGTCCAGCTACAGGCAGGAGGTGGAACACCTGGAGAGCTGGTGCAGGAAGAACAACCTTCACATCAATGTGAAGAAGATGAAGGAGGAGGCTGTGGACTTCAGACGGAACAGACACCCCCACCCAACATAGGAGGATCTGCGCTGCAAGTGGTCTCCAGCTACAAGTACTTAGGTGTGCATCAACGTGTGGCATGGAGGCTGCACAGCTGCAGAAAGAAAAGTTTTGCAGAGAGCGGTGAAGGCTGCACAGAAGATGTTGGAGTCAGCCTCTCCACCATCACAGACATCTACACCTCTAGATGCAAGAAGAGGGCCACCTGCATCATGAAGGACCTCACTCACCCAGCACACACTTTTTTCCCCGCTCCCCTCAGGAAGGAGGTTGGGGGGGCTTCGCTTGAACAGAGCAGGACTCGTGGTCTAATTGAGTGATCCAAGAAATGAAAAAAGTCCTCCGGATGAAGCGCCGAACATTTGGCAGCATGCTTCCCGCTCAGAAGTCCTCGTGGGCCGGCTACCAGCTCTCAAGATTCACCGATGGGTCTGGATGTCCAGTTCTGCTCGGGTTTTGGTCCAGTTCAATGGATTCTGTGTATCTCTCTGCATCCACTGGGTGCCAACGTCACTGTAATAAGTGCCAAACTTTTTCCGATCAGATGAAAACTTTCCCTCTAGTATGTCAGACGACGACAACTGGGCTTCTGGGCAGGACACCGCTGCCTTCTGGGAAATGTAGTCATTATGAGCGGGAATCCAGTACAGATTTATCGAGAGAAAAATACAAAAGAGAAAATGTTGGCGCCTGTCAGAAATATTTCATTTTTTTCGTTAACTTCTTACTGTACAGTATCCAGTACTGTCACAGTCACGAGTAATATTAAAGTTGATAATAATGTGTCTTTTTTCCTTGTGTTCGATCTTACTTTGAAAAACTGTGATAGAGTGAGTCCACGTAAGTCAAACTGCCAAGTAGCGAGGGACTACTTTAATCCAAATAATTAATTTTTTACAATTGTTCAGCCAAGATTGAAGTGGTAGCAGCTGAATGTCCTCAGCCCATACTGAGAGCAGACTGATCATATAAACATTTTTCTTTTATTCAGATTGCAATAATCATCCTTTGAAGGAAAGCTACTTTCAGTTTTATTTGTTTTTTGTATTATTTTGTATGTGTTACGTTTTTATGACAGTTGCTCTTTACGGGTTTTATGCAGATGACTGGTTGTACTAAAAGCGCTTCATATGGAAAAAGGATGTTTAAACATTTTGAACCACCGTATTTTTCATAAAGTAATCGCAGTTTGTCTTTTAAAATAAAAAAACCAAATAAATTGCAACGCCTGCCCCTGGCTGGGCATTGTTCCACTGTACAATAAAACACATAAAATATAAACCTACAACAGTTCGAACTCCATAAAACTAAAATATTATGAACAATACTCAAGTTGAAAAGAGAAAACATGGACACATACAAACTCTTTCCAATAATTCAGAATCTGAACTTGTAAAGTTAAAACATTATAAGTGAATTCAAACTTGTTTGGTTTTCAGCCAAGTGTTCACTTTAGAGATAAAAGTTTTAAAGTCTCTCATCTGTTTTATTTTATTAGTCACAGTTAAGACTGTCGTGAGAACTAATTCTGTGTGATTCAAAGAGAAAATTCACATTTTGTCTTAAATTCTGTTTAATTTTGTGTCTCCAACAGTTTCATCTGAGGGATGCAAAGTTTAGAGCTCCATCATCTGGAGATCGTTTTAATTTATGTCATAGACAAATCATAGGTTTTTACATTAGGTGAAAAGTTAATTTTATGATCCAAATATTATTTCATGTATCACTTGACATATTGTGTATCTTAAAATGCCAGTGATTTATAGCTAAATTAACTTTTATTCAATTTTGTTTTTGAGTTATTTCCTGTTTGCTTTGGTAGCAGAAAGTCTACCTTCAGTTTATCCAACAAAGCATGTTTTGGTTTAAACTTTTCATCCTTCATCCAAAGGACTTCATCAGTCCGAGGAGCCACAATAAACTGAGTGGTAACTGAACGTTTGAGTTAGTTCTAAACTTCTTGTTTTGCTCCTTTGCGTTGCAGCTCTACAGCTCGGTGGAGTTTGGTCGACGATGGCAGCTGGTGCACGAGAGAGTGGCTCCGAATCGTTTCTACTGGTGAGCGCAGCCCGTTGGACCCTCTGCAGAATCACTCAGTCCAGACTGCAGCAAAGACTCCACCCATTAAGCATTTTACTTGGAATGCTACTAAGATAAACACCTAGCCTAAAACAAAAGTCATATTAAGGAAGGAACATTGTTAGACTCAGCATTAATACTCAGAATGTATAAAACGTAACCACTGATGGAATAAATATGAATCTGACCAGATGACGGCAGATATGTTTGCTCGTCGATTACGTTTTAATAAGTATCGCCATGTGTTCTGTTTACAGCTCATAAGTTTAGACATTTGTCACAATAAATGATGTTAAAGTTCCAGTTTCATTATAAAGTATATTAACTGCGTGGCATAAATTATCATTAATTAGGAGTTAGAATAGTCTGTGACAAATATATAAAAAAAACATAAATAAAAATACATTCATGGTTCTGAGGAGAAGAGAAACACTTCTGTCATTTCTTTAATAAAACATACTTTAATCAGTTGTAAGAGAACATTAATTAAACTAAAATGATTTTATGATAAGAAGTAATAGATCTGAAGCCACTTTGGTCACACTGTAAATGCTTTTATGCACAGTCATCTGTTAGCGTTCCATTAGCTCATCATCTGTTAAAAGAGCCAACCAGTGCTTTGAGATATTTTACTAACACTAAAGCTAAACCAGCACACACACTGACACAAGCAAAAACCTTGTCTGTTTGTTTCTCAGGACTTTTTCCTCTTTGCATTTGTTTCCTATTATTTTACTGCGTCTTGTGGACACCCTGCGTCTTTTCCGGTCAAACCGGCTGCTTTCTGACACGTCTTCATTCAGGAACTAACATATGACAAAAAGGCTTCAGCTCAACAAACTGCAGAAGAACTGCTGGTTAGTAACGAGCCACTTCGGCCGGGAGTGATAGGAGCCCGAGGGCTGAGGCTGCAGAAGCTGTCAGACTTCTATTTTAGGCTGTTCTCTGTGTGGTGGGTGTTGTGGTAGCCCTGCTAATGAAGCTGCACGGGGGGGGGGCTCGTATCTGCGGCGCATGTGGCTGCAGAACATGTGTAAACTCATTTGTGATGCGGTGAACCTGAGAGGAACTCTGTAACATGCTGCAGGGAAAAAACTTGCAAACCGCCACGGGATCCAGCTCTAATCAGTGTGAGAGCTTAGCATGTGCATGCATTTGCATAGGACATTAGAAATCTCTGCAAATACATGTGGAGCTGCATCTGTTGGATGTTTTTCACAAGACAACAGCTCCATCTCATGACTAAGTTCTTTTTTAAACGTTCTAACCTTAGTCATCCTTTGAGGCCAAATACCGTGTTTTCCTGCGTATAAGTCCAAGTTTATTGCGTAATTTGTCAGTCCTGCGACTTATATGCTGAAGCAAATTATATACTTTTTTCATATTCGTAATGCAATTTTTGACTGACGCTTTAAATTTCGAAGAAATGCAACAGTGAGGTGTGTGTTCATTTCACTCAGCTGGTGCAGGCGGATGAACATTGGAGAGCTAACAGCTCCAGCCGCGATGAATGGATGGAAAGCTTGCTGGCTGGATGGATGGCTGGCTGGATGGCTGGCTGGATGGATGGATGGATGGATGGATGGATGGCATCGCGCCACCCAGGTGAAATTAAGCTATTTGGACCATTAAAGTGCTTTTATTAAGGAAAAGTTAAACTGAGACACACATTTGCTATAATGTCGAGCAAACAAACAATTGTTTTTAAGTGTTAATCTTGTTAAATTTCGAAGAAATGCAACAGCGAGTCCTCCCATGAGCGCTCGCTTAACTCAGCTGGTGCAGGCAAAGGAACGCTGGAGAACTAGCAGCTCAGGCCGTGATGGATGGTGCTGCGTTGCCCAGGCAAATTGAAGCTGTTTTGACCATTAAATAAATGCATAATAAATGCGACGGGTCAGTGGTGACACATAATAAATGTGACTTATATGCCGAAGCGACTTATATGTTTTTTCCTCTTCGTGATGCTTTTTTTGACTGATGTGACTTATACTCGGAATGCGACTTATATGCCAGAAAATACGGTACTTTTAGAAACTGGAGAAATAAGAGCAGAGTGCATCGCTGTAGGTCTCCCACAAAGGTTAAAATATACACATTCAAACAAATCGTCTTATTTCTTTTCCCTGCAACACATTATCACTCGGTATCAAATGTATTATTTAGTGAAAATGGAAATTAGGTTTGAGAAGTAGGCCACCTTGTTCAAGGCTTCTTTCATTCTGTAATTTATCAAAACGTCCTCTGATTAGCACTTTTGGTGGTCTTTGATTGTCTTTGTCTACTTTTTATTCTCTTCACAGAGATTTTCTGTACATCCCCTCCCTTTTGTGAATACGCTACGCTTGAAGACGTCCCCCTCCAACTCTCCATATCCACCTTCCCTTTTTAGCTTCATGTCTTGGCTGCTCCTGCTTCTCTCCTCTGATCCTCAAAGTCTTTTTAATTCATTTTTAATGCCATAACGATTGTATGCTCCTCCATCTGCAGGCAGCAAGAAAATCAATGCTTTTCCGTTTCTAATGATGTGAAGGAACATCGTTCCTAATATGTCTAACTGTAAAAGGACCTTCACGGGCTTTGAACATTTAGATCACATATTCAACCCGAGGCTTCGAGTTAAACTGTCCTCCATAAGTTCCAGTGGTTCCTGCAGCGCGTTCCTGCTGATATTTACCACAACGGTTGTGATTGAATCTCTCCGCTGTAAACAATTTGTCTGAATTTACAGCGCACAATCTCTCAGGCCAGACAGCAGCTCTGGCAGGTGGCATTTGCCCAAAGGCAAAAGACCAATAGTGATGCTGATACACATTTGTCTGCCTTTCAGGTCGAAAATGGGTTTAGACAAAGAGCCTGGTCTAATTCACCTGGAAACCAGCATCTCTGAAGGACGTGAGTAATTCAATTCTGTGTTCAAAGCTCTGTTTTCTGCTGTCTTTGTACTGTAACATGAGCATTGTGGCAAAGCAGAGAGGATTTTGGGGCGGTTGCATGGGCTGTTCTGCTGTGGGAGAATGCAAAGCGACAGTGGGGATGACAGAGTCTGGGGACGCACAATGACAACGGAGGTAAAAAGTAATGCATACATTAGAATGCTTAAAGCTGGCGATGAAGCCCAGCAGTGCAGGTTCATGTCTCTCATCCACCTGAATGACGATGAACACTGAGATGATACACACTGCCCTTCTTCTGCTGAAACACTTGAAATTTACTCCAGGGGAGAGCTTGCACGTAGCAGATATTGACCAAGTTGTTTAACCTGGTCCAGTCTTAATGAGGTTTGTGGTTAACACTACAGGGTTCATGCAGCGACCTCATCAGGAATGCGTGTTCAGTCATCTCGGGCAGTCAGACATTCCTGTGTATTGTGGACAGTTACACGCAGACGGTCATGCAGGTATTTTTCTCAGGCAAAGGTTAGGGTCTGGTCTTAATTTGTAAACCGACTGATGCTAGAATACAAATAACAGGTGGGGTGGCGAGGGGTGGGGTGACTGGGGGTCCTCCCCTAGAAAATTTTGAATAAAGTAGATGCAATCTCCTGCATTTGGTTGTATTTTATCAGGTTGTTAATCATTTACGTTTACCTACATTTGCAAACACTCTGCTTCTGTCAAGCATCCTATCCCCTCTCCCCCCTCTTGATGGTTCAGAGCCCGCCTCTTCTCCACAGAATTCATTGTCCTGCTCATTGTTGTCCGACTTCCCATGTGAAACCTCCAGGCGCCTCCTTCATCTGTTCATGGCGGCTGCCTGTGGGCTCCTGCCCGCAGTCGACTGCCTGCTTAGCTCGGCACTCACCCCCACCACTCGCTCGCTCCTGCTCCAGTCTCCATTGCCACTGTCTTCAGGTGCTTCAATTCTCAGTTGTCCAACTAAGGACAACGAGAAGCCTTTTTTATGAAAGCAAATTGCACTGTCTTTTGGACATTTTGATCGCTGTTATTTTGACAAATTAGCGCTGTTGTTTTAACACGTGATGTGATGTGAATAATATCCATCAAGCATTTCTCTAGTATTTTTAATAAATAATCAAAAATTTTATTAATGACCCACTTAAACTGTCAAACTAATTTGCAATTTAGTTGTGGTGTTTAAATACATTTTGGAGTTTTTTTTTAATATAATTGCACGATGACTTTGAATTTTATGGGCATATATTTTTTTTTTAAGGGTAGAAGCGGAGATGCTTACTTGAAGGAGCAGCTCGTATGTGATATTAAGAAGCTCGTAAGTGGCTGTTGTGTTTAAAATGAGTGTTTATATAATTATTTTCAGTTTACATATCAAATATAAGTTTTATTCAGTCAAGGCAATCTTCTTCTTTCGGGTGCTCCCTTCGTCAGGGGTCATCACAGCGAACTAAGTCGCACGAAGACTTGGCAACTGTTTTTACACCGGATGCCCTTCCTGACCTAACCACAGACCACCGAGCTATCACAGCCGTCTGTGTGGAGCAGAGAGCTGCCATCTAGGGTGCCCTGGGAAGCAGATAGGGGGGTCAAGGGCCTTTCTCAAGGGTCCAGAGTGGGGCAAATGAGGGTGGAGGCAGGTGTGGGTGCTTCACCTATCCCACCCACATTTTGATGTTGTTTGTACCGGAGTTGAACCAGCGATCTTCCGATCACAGGCCTATCTTCACTAACCTCTGCACCCCGACTTCCAGAGTCATATTTGCAGTCATATTTGTTCATAACTTTATTATTAGTAAGTCTGAGAGTTACCAGACCCAAGCAAACAGTTACTGGAATGCACCCTGTAAAAATAAAAGAGTTCAAATTCAAAAACTCAAATTAAGCACTGGTTAGGGTGGAAACAGTTGCACTGCTCTGCAGACAGTTCTGAGGTTGATTCTTGAACTGGGAATTGTTGGCTTACATCATTCTTTCACGTGTCAAATCCCATCGGCAGACCACTGAGATGTTGCTTTGTCGGATGAAGTCCAAGACCACAAATGATGCATCAAGGCATGTTTCATGAGTAGCCATGCCCAGACTAGAGTTTTTTTTGGTTGGCGGAGTAACCCATATTTCAAGTTTCATCCACTGAGAACAGTTAGCCAGGTAACAGGAGAGCATGTTCTGCACAGAAGCCCCAAGGAAGAAGAGCAACATGTGGGAAGATTGACAAACAGGAAGCCAAGATCATGACAGAAACTGTGTTATTACTTCTAGACGTTCAAGTTTTATCTTATTTTCTGCATCCTGCCAGGTCCATGGCTGACACTGAGCCAATCTGAAGATCAACTAAGTTAAGGAATCAGCAGTGAAGTCAGTTTCTCACTGTTGGAGACTATTTGGCAAAGAATATTCCCTAGGTAGCCTCCAACATGCCTCTAATGAGGTCCATGGCTTCCTCGTGACAGTTGCAGAAGCTTGTCGATTTGTCATGAATTGTGTTTTCAAAAAATGTTTGTTGATTTACTTTTTATAATTCTAGAGTGACAGAGCTGTATTTTGACGCCTCCACAGCACAGGAAATGTCTAAAAATCCAGCTAAACGTCAGCTTTAGGGCTCGCTGATCAGACAGAGTTTTTCGAGACTGAAACGGAAAGTTTGCCTGTTTCTTTGCAAATATCTCGCAATTCATTTGAGTTGCCAACTAGTCTCCAAAACATCACATCTCAGTGAGGTACAGGCCTAATATTCTCTCAGCTCTCAATTTTCTTTTCTAATTTCTGCCATGCCTTTACCTTTGACCTCAGTTGTTGTATGGGAACAATGGAATAGCAGGTTTAGCTTGTCTCCCAAATTATTTGTACAGCAAAATTGTTGGGCACAAGAAAAATTGTATTGCTGATTTTAAGGGAAAGTTTCCATTTTTCAGTAAGTAAAGAAGAAATATTGCCATCCAATGTGAGTGATAAACACAACCTCATCTGATTTGACCTTTGGACATTGTCCTGATTTGTTTTGTCACTTTTTTAACTCCCTCTTCTTCTCCTTTTGGCTTTTCTCTCTTCAGGGGTCTCCACAGCGAGTCATCTTCCTCCATCTCACGCTGTCCTCTGCATCCTCTGTCTTCACTCCAACTACCTCCATGTCCTCAGTAACTGCATCCATATATCTCCTCTTTGTCTTTTTCCTGGCAGCTGCATTTCTAACATCCTTCTACCAGTATACCCACTGTCCCTCCTCTGGACATGTCCAAACCATCTCAGTCTGGCCTTTCTAACTTTATCTCCCTGTTGTTCATCCTGGGCTGTACCTCTGATGATCTCATTCCTAATCTTATCCATCATTGTCACTCCTAAGGAGAACTTCAATATCTTCATTCCTGCCACTTCCCGTTCTGTCTCTTGTGTTTTTGTCAATGTCTCATTCTCCAGACCAAACAACATAGCTGCTCTCACCACTGTCTTGTAAACTTTTCCTTTGACCTTTGCACAAATCACTCCTGAAACTTTTCTCCACCCACTCCATCCTGCCTGGACTCTCTTCTTCACCTCTTTACCACATCCCCCATTTTCCTGGACAGTGGACCCCAAGTACTTGAAGTCCTGCACCTTTGTGACCTCTGCTCCTTGTAGCCTCACTGTTCCACCGGCCTTCCTCTCATTCACACACATGCACTCTGTCTAACTACGGCTGACTTTCATTCCTCTTCTTTCAAGTGCATACCTCTCCAAATTCTCTTCCACCTGTTCCCTGTTCTCACCACAGATCACAATGTCATCTGCAAACATCATAGTCCACGAGGATTCTTGCCTGACCTCATCTGTTAGTCAGTCTATCACCAGAGCAAACAAGAAGGGGCTCAGAACCGATCCTTGATGCACTTGTCATTTTTCAACTAAACTTAAACAAAGACAAAATCCCATCTTATTGCTGAACTTACACCATCATATTCTTTTAAGGAAACCTCTGAATTATCACAGTACAATAAATGTACTTGCTGGAAATGTGCACTTGGTTGTGTTTTACCAAACCAAGTGGAGCAAAGAATGTCTGCAATTTATAAAGAAGCTCTAGGATTTCCTGCTGAACACCCAAATAAAGAAACAAATCCATGTCTGCACCTAATTGTATTGAGCGACACAGCTGCTATGTTTAGAGGAACAAAGTGAAATCAAATCGTTCAGTTGTGTCAGTTTGGATGTGTTTTGTCCAGACTACAGCCATGTTGGTCAATTCTCTGCAGTTTGTTCGACCAGTAGAAACCAATGAACGACTGATTTGTGTCTGCTTTGTTTACTGTATACATCGAGGGTTGCACAGAGGTGTGGAGGGCCGTGTTCATGTTTGTTTAAATGAACCTTAGCGAGTTCTTTTTTAATTTAACTAATCATGCCAAGTTCCTAAATGACAACCTTTTTGTTAAAGTTGGTGCAATGAAGAATGGGTCAGTCAAACAAACCCTCTGAGCAAATGTTGCACGTGTCAGATGTTACAGTCACACAGCCGGAGAATAACACCATTGATCATGCTTATATGGAAGGAGCTGACACGTATTTGGCTCGGGCCGGCGAATGGGGACAGGCTCCCCAGCTAGCACCTTGATTGAAGGGAAGGAAAGCAATTGGCCTCTGTGGTCATCTGTCTCCCCCTCCACCCGGCTTCTCCTTTACCGGGACCGCATCACAGAGTAATGCAGGAGGCCAAAAGAGAGCACTTAACTCTGTGTGAAGGCTGCCTTTTTTCATTTGCTTAAACCATTGGCCTGACGTGTGTCTGTTTGTGTGTGCATTGGTGTGCGAGCAGAGGCGCTGTATGTCACCTGCAAGCTGCAAAACTGCACCGATGCCAACAAGGGCAAACCATTCCCCGGGTACATTGACCCCAATTCTCTGGTGGTGCAAGATGAGTACGTGTTTGTCCAGGTAAGTGATAGTTCTGTTTGCTCACTGAGAAATATTAGAGCTGAGGGCAGCATGTCTGTGTGCAGGAAATACATCAAGGGCATGTTTAGATGTGTCCTACATTCTTTATTTTTAATGTGAATAGTGTGAAATTTGTGTTTTCTGGTGTCACTGAAATGTTTCTGGCTCAAGGTGTCCACTGCTGGGAGGCCAGTCTACTATGTTTCTGCAAAAAGAGACATCTTCACCCCCATGAAGCTGCCTAAGTACACCTTGCCGAAGGTAACCAACTGCCCAACACCACTTCAGTTAGGGAATACCTGCTTGTTCTGTAAATACAGTGAATGCTGAGGCTGAAATGTGTTAAATAAGCTGAAGCTAAATGGGTAAAGGTAAAGCAGCCGTACAAAAAAAATAGCAAAAAACTAATAGATGAAACTGGAAGAGCAGTTGTTTAAATTAAAATCAGATGAGCAGCATCAAAAGACAAAATCAGCAAAACTGTAACTAAAAGCTAAAATTAGCAAAAACAGTAGTGGTAACATAAAAGTAGCAGAACAGTAACTGAAGCTAAAACTAGCACAATAACAGACATCAAAGACAAAATTAGCAAGACAGATGCTATCTTAAGTAATCATCCATCCATTATCTTTACCTGCTTCTTCCTTTTTGGGTCGCGAGGGTCACTGGTGCCCATATCCAGCCATCACTGTGCATGAGGCGGGGGGGACGCTGGACAGGTCTCCAGTCCATCACTGGGACACATAGAGACAAATGAAACAAACAACCATTCATTCTCTCACTCACACCTAGGGACAATTTAGAGTCACCAATCAGCCTAACATGCATTTTTTTGGTCTGCGGGAGGAAACCAGAGTACCCAGAGAAAACCCACGCACAGAGAGAACATGCAAACTCCACCCAGAATGGCCACGGACCAGGATTTGATTCAGGGCAACCTAGTAGCTTGTCCTCTGGTTCTTGAGATATTTTGCTAACAGGGAGAAGAAATCATGCCTATCATGTCAGGGGGTAATAAAACATCTTCTAAGCACTAATAAAATAGACGATTTCAGCTAAAAGCAAAATATTTTAATAATTAACAGAGGAAGTGTAAACAGGAAAGAGAAATGGCCTCATTGCGAGGAGGTTCCCCTCACGCCCACCTGAAGCAACGATGATCCCCGGCGCCGACTCCCTGCTGGCGATGTTTCCAGACGTGTAGGGGTTTGCAGACACATGGAGATGGAGATGTAACGAGCAGTACGGCTGCAGAGCGAGAAGTCAAAAACTCAATTAGCGGAAGTTTCTCGCCTGAACCAATGGAGAACCTCAAAGGCGCATCGAATGTTGCATCGACTCGGCTCCACAAACGCCTCCCAAGTCATAAGTTTCATTACAAACACAATTCCCCCATTGGCTGGCCTCGCAACCTGCGCCACTGTCAGACAAGCTAAAAGTTTAAATTAGCTAAACCGTAGCTAAATTAAAATAGCAAAAGCTGTAGCTGAAAGCTAATTTGATCAAAACAGATAAATGCCAAAACTAGTGAAACAGTAGCCGTAAACAAAAACTATTAAAACAGCTGCTAAAAGCTAAAATCAGCTGGACAGCTACTAAAAGCTAAAACCAGAAGAATGGCCTCTAAAAGCTAAAATTAGCAAAACAATGACAGAAACATTTGGTGAAATTAAGACTTGTAAAACCACCTGTTAAAAGTTAAAGCCAACAGAACAAGGGGTAAAAGCAAAAATTTGCTAAACAGTGGCTGAAAAGTGAAATTAGCAAAACATGAGCTAAAATCTTCAAGATTTCAAAGAGCACCAATTATTAAGAATTTGAAAAGTTCTCAATGCATTTTTATGAAGAGAAAATAATATAAATATATAAATATAAATAATGGTTAATAAATCCAAAAGTGTAAAATTCACACAAACCGTAAGTCTTGTCGGTGATGTCCAAAATGAGCCGAATATTTTGAGACCCGAATGGCTGAATGACTGAAAAACAAATGATTCGAATGAGTTAAAAGCAAGTAAAGTTGTAATGAAGGGTTAGGTAAAGTGTTCCCGATAGTTTTTTGTTTGAAGGTAGACACCGGTTTGATTCTGGCTCTGTTTGGTCCAAGGCCCGCTTCATCACCGGCTCTTTGTTATTTACGGGCGAATCGAGGCCAAAAGCAGCCCTCGCAGAGAACTGTTGTTCCATACGGCATGTCCCGTTCATCACGTTCCCTCTGACAATTAAACATGTTTATTCAATCAAGCCTTGAGAGCTCCGGTAGTTCTGGCGACATCGGCCCAGTCTGAGGTCGATGAAGCACACAACCGAACAGCGTGACCTCAGCCCCGTCACTTCTGCCCAATAAGTCTTAAACTCTTAATGACTGCTGTTTCCTACAGACGATGGAGCGGCTCGGATGATTCTGATTAATCCCAGCAGGAGCACAGACACAATAGGTGTAATCTGAAAGTCTTTATGTTGATTATTGGAACAGAATTAATCACGTTTTTGATTGAAGTACAGAATTAAAACGTATGTTGGTGATACTTATTGAGGTGCTCTTTTAATTCAGTCAATTGCAGATTCAGTGATGAATATGTTGACATTATTTGTTTTTATTTTAATTTCCATATTTATGTTTATGTTTTGGGGCAAACATGGACTTCTACATTTTAGCCATTTCTGTCAGAATGTTCAGCTTATTCAGGAGATGGCTGCCATCGCATTTGGTTTTTATAAGTTTTAAAGATAATTTCCATTATTTTCCCACATAGAATTACATGAATATGTTTTCAGTTATAGTAATAACTCGTTTTTCGCAGGGGATCCGTACCATGAAGCCCTGCAATAAGTGAAAAACCGCAAAGTAGGAATAGTAGTACAAGTAGTAAGTAGTAGTTTATTATATATATATATATATATATTTTTTTTTCTTTCGCCTGCTCCCTGCGTTAGGGGTCGCCACAGCGAACTAAGTCGCACAAAGACTTGGCAGTTATATATATATATATATATGTATATATATATATAT